ACCGCGCAGCTCGCAAGACTCGTCGAGCACTCGCAGCCTCTCTGCGCCTCTCATGCTGCCGCTCTGCGGGATGTTCAGTCTTTCCGGAAGATATCGTCGAGTTTTGGAAGCTGCGCGGTCAAACCTGGGGGGAAACAAGAGCGTCACGACGGACTTCAGGTTACACCTGAATCTCTTCTGACGGTTCTCGCTCCCCATCGAGCCCTTCTTGCCGCTCGGCTCTTCCTGTTTGTCGGCACAGAGCTCCGTGCCAGCCCTCCAGCGAGATAGGAACGAGTGTATCGCTTTGACGGATCGACCGTGCTTGTTATCAAAACCGATCTCACGTACACAGTTACACTCCAGACGTTCTGTACTCTCCTATCCGGCAACCGGCGAGACGCTGCCGTGAGCCAGCCGCTCTTGCGGCAGCCGCCAGCGGAGGCCGAGCGCGTCGCGTATCGATCGAGCTCGCGATCCGGGCCGTGGAGCCCACGAGGAAGACTTCGTCTGCTGGGACGGAGTCCCGACGCTCGCTGCGTCCGCCGGAACTGGGTCTGCACACCTTTCGTGGCCGCGTCCCGCAGTGGCAACCACGATCTTCCCGCTTTTTTATTTTTGCTTGGGCGGACCTCATCCCGGGGTAGGTAGGGTAGGTCTGTGGGCCCTCCCGTCGGGGTTTTCCCTCTCTCCACGCTGGAATTTTCACAGCAAAAAAAGAATTTTTCCGCCCAAATCACGATGTCAACCCTCCCCAAGTGGGTGATCTGGTGCTTGTAGGGCTTGAGAGTGGCCTGCCATGTCACAGGAAGGACTGTGGTTGCAGGAGAGTACCACCAACCATCACTTTAGTTGGTATAGTACCCCACCTTCAACCGTCCCATGATTTCTTTTTTACTTTCCCAGAAGTAGGGTAGGTAGGTAGGTAGGTAGGAAGGGGCAGGGCAGGGGCCGGCCAGGTTTTTGCAGAATTTCAGGATGAGGTCCGCCAAAGCAAAAATAAAATAACCTGGGCTGGGCAAGAATTGGTGTCGTGTGCAGGTGGGGACCTAACGCCGACCCTCTCGTCATCCTTTTCTTTCTTATCGTTCTGAACCGGTGTGCGGCGAAGTTGGCTGACTATGGATCTCCCTACTTAGTACCCACGTCGTGTGTAGTGCTCTCCCCAAGGTCACATAAACGATGGTACAACTGGGCGTCGGTAGCATGTATGTATGTAGTAAGGTGAAGAACAGTCAGGCTCGGACTGGACACCAACGCGGTATGGGTGGACGCAAGACAGATGATGACGACACGCACGAGCGACACACAGACACAAACAAGCTCACAAGACACACAGCCAGCGGGCTGCCACACATCCTGAGTGGGCGTACACATCACTCAGGCCACCTCCCCCCTGTCGCCCCCCCCAGCACTCCAAGGCGCCAAGAGACAA